TGGTAGGCCATGTAAACTCACAGGGTGGCGTTAGCAGATGCTGCAGTGCAGAGTCAATCACTACAAACCCCCAAACTTGTGTGGTCTTCAGATTAGCTCAAGGACACCGCATGGAATAGGTTTCCACGTCCAGTCAGCTGCATCCAAGCCTTGCATCATCAAGTGCAGTCAGAGTGTCAGATGCTGTGGTGTAAATCATGCTGCAACTGGACTCTAGAGCAGTGGAGACATGGTTTCTGGAGTGACAGATCATGTTTCTCTATCTGATGGACAGGTCTGGGTTTGGAGGTTGCCAGGAGAATGCTACTTGTCTGACTGCATTGCGCCAAGTGTAATGTTTGGTGGAGAGGGATTTTGGTGTGGGGTTGATTTTCAAGGTCGCTCCTTAGTTCCAGTAACAGGAAAACTTCATGCTTCAGAATACCAAGACATTTAGGACAATTTGATGCTCCAAACTTTGTGGGAATAGTTTGAGGGTTTGCCTCTTCCTGTTCCAACATGGCTGTGCACCAGTGCACAAAGCAGAATGAGCAAAGCTGCACAGAGTCCAAACCTCAACTGAAAAGATCACCTTTTGGATGAACAAAGGTTGCACTTCTCGTTCAACATCAGTGTCTGACCTCACAAATGCGCTTCATATCAAAAATTCCCATAAACTCTCCTAAACGTCATGGAATGCCTTCCCAGAAAGGTTGAAGCTGTTTTAGCTGTAAAGGGTGGACCGAGATCATACTAAACCTTAAACTTGGGATATCACTTAATTTCATACATGTGTGAAGGCAGATGAGCAAATACTTTTCCAGTATAGTGTACCTCATCTTTCATTTACAGGGATTTCAAAGGGTTCAGCAGTAAAAAGGAATGATAAACATAATCTGCTACTGTTTTCACATTTTTGTTCATCAAAAATACATTTATTAAACTTGACAGTGGCCATTTTACGAGTGTATTAACAGAATAATTGAACAACAAGACCAACACAGTAACATCCATCCATCCATTTTCTTCCACTCATGGTTACCAGCCAGGCAACCATCGTCCTTCACTGTGGTGTGTTGTTCACATTCTTAAGCTGTGTGCAGTTTAAAATCAGATCACTGTTGCTCATGATGGAAAAGTTCAATTATCACCTGACTTCTTTGTTAACAAAGACAGTTCATACTGCTGGCCCCAGGATGCTTTGACCTGTAGTGTTAAAACACTTGATGTGAGTGCGTGATTGACTCAGTCTAACTCTGTGGGTTTGTTGTGGAAAGTGAGTCTCTCGATGTAAGAGAACTGAATGCCATCAGTGGTAGTCGGCTTACTTTAGTAGTTACTGAAAGTGAAGAGAGCCGCAGTGAAGTGGAGATTGATTTTGATTGCAACTGTGCTGTTGCTGGCTTGTTTAAAATGTCATCATATGCATAATTTTTTACATTTTTTAAAAAAAATATCACTCTTCCTTCTTTTCACAGTTCCTTTGAGTTTGCTCTTTTCCAGCACCGTGGCATTCGTGGAGGGTGAGGTTGGAGCACACTCTTTTTGTTCCCCTTCTTAAAATAAAGGTAGGTCACCATCTCATTTTGCCAGTCCAGAGGCGCTGTCACCAACCTCAGTGTGATGTTGCAGACCTCACATGATTCTGGGCCTTCAGAAACATGGGTCAAATCTTGTCTACTCCAATGAAGTCCCTTAGACTTCTCTGCAACTCTGAAAGCATCTCAGAGTTTTGAAGATAATTGGGGAAGAGCAGAGTATTCTATTTGCAAGATGGCTTGATGCAGCATCAACAGCAATTCGGATGCTGAGCACGAGTCTGAAGTCATTTACTATTTCATCCACATTCCTATTGTTACCCATGGCTATTGAACATGCCATGAACTCTCTACCAAGAAGAGACCCAGTGGCAGACCCGGATCATGCCGGGGATGTTGTGTCTCTCAGCTGGCTTGAAAAACCTCACCCTTCACCTGGAATTACAAGAGGTGGTGGTGTTGGAGGAGAGCTGGCCATGTCTGCTTAGACTGCTTTCCTAGTGATCTAAACCAGTAGATCATGCACTTGGCGTAGTCCAGTAGTCTACAGATTAAAAGTTCCACCTTGCCTTTACTTGGTGGAAAACTCTTACTATACTACGTTTGCCATTATCAATTGGTTATCACCCTTAATCAGCTTTTCATCTCATTTTCAGAAACTTGTCTAGGGTTAGGATCAGGTTTTCTTTGAGTTTCTTAACAGATTGTTTTTCTGTTAAATTGTCTGCTTAGCTATTTTTTTTTTAGCTATTTGAAATATCTGTGTGGTAGCAATAAATATCAGCTAAATGCCATAATAAGGTAAACTGATTCATGTGTGAGCTGAAATGAATGGATTAAATGTTGAATTAAGATAGGTGGTGGTGGTACATATGTTGAAAATAGTTAATGACACTGTTTTTTCACAGCTCAGGATGTAGTTTAAATAGTCCAGTAATTATGAGATCAGTGGTTTGATCCCCAGTTCCTCCAACCTGCATGTCCATGTGTAGGAGTGGAACTGCTGATGCTGCTGGTGTGCTGTCAGAAATGGTCCAAGAAAAGGAAAAAACTCAGGGACCAAAATTAACACTGATTCATTTGAAATTTGTCTTTTGAACACATCCAAATTTATCCTCCTCTAATTCCCTTTTATTCCCTTTGGTCATGTAACATATCTGGATAAACATCCTGTGTATTTTCTTCTTTTTTTCTTTTTCTTTCTGTATATTGCTTAGAGTCCACTTCTCACTGTGAATTTTGAAATATTCACCTTTGTCATTTCATCTCCTGCATCTTTCCAACTAGCAGGAGTACAGGAGAATGTGTTCTCAAGAAATAAATCAATCAGTCTCCAGAAGTAGCTGGAGGGAGACACATATCTTTCTTTTCATCTCTTACATCTACTATTCAGCCTCCCACGTCTGCCCAGGCTATAGAAAAGCACCGGCTGACCCAGGTATAATAGAGCATGTCATGGTCATGTCCCAGTCATTGGCCAGGGAGTCATCTAATTAGATATGCTTGATTTTTAAAAAGTGGTTTGCGCAGAAATCTGTTAACAAGAGAAGATGAATATCCTTTGAATCTCCTGTCACCTTTCCCTCCCTGTGAGCTTTGGCAGGCACAGAAAAATCTTTCAATCTGTAGTTTAATCTGACAGCTTCTACACATTGAGTACTGCAAGCAAGTGAACTCTAAAGAGACACGAAGAGTTATATACAATCTGCAGTTTGAATGACAATATTCAACCTGACAAAGTGCACCAATTGGTGAAGTGAGCAAAACTACTTTGTGTTAAAGTTTGACCTCTGAGAATTTTCTATCAGGTCATTTAACATGTTTGCTGTTCAGTTTGAAATATATTCCTTACAAGAGTAAAAAAAGTAAAAAGTAAAATTTATTTATATAGCACATTTCACAGATAAAAATCACAAAGTGCTTTACAATAAGATCAGACATACAAGTTAAAATTAATTAAAAGCCTGTTTGTATAAAAATGTCTTCAGCTGCTTTTTAAAGGAGTCAGTAGAGTCTAGACAGCGTAAAGACAACGGCAGAGAGTTCCACAGCCTAGGTGCC